GGTCTTTTGATATGGATAGCCAAGAGATAGATACTATGCCAGTCAGAGTATCGCAACCAAGAAGCTCACGAAGGCGACCTCGAGATGAAGAACTACATGTACCACGATGACGACGAAGGATATCGAGTAACCGATCACTGGTGATCGTATTTGAGATCGAGCCTGCTTACGATGGTCAACCAGAAGGCGTGTTTGCAGGACAAATTTCACAATGAGGACACGGAAGTTCATTCTTGGTCAGAAGTCGAAGGCGTGGGCCACTACCGTTGGCTTCAAGGGTCGATGAACCACTTGCCTCGTGAACAACAGTTGGAGTTCATAGCAGAAGTTATGCGACAGATCTTCATTTTCTTGCGTTAGTACTGATCAACAACATTACTTCTCAAAGACCTCGAAGCTAAAGGAGGGGGTGATGTTAGGGACATATTCTTTAGAATTTTCTAGAGACAAGTTTCTAGAACCTTCTAGAAAACAAGCCTCTGGAACCTTCTAGAAGAGAAGCCTCTGGAATCTTTTAGAGAGAAGTTTCTAGAACTTCTAGAAAGGAAGCCTCTGGAACCTTCTAAAAGAGAAGTTTCTAGAAGCTTCTAGAAAGGAATCCCCTGGAACTTTTTAGAAGCTTCCTAGTTAATAGAAGTAGCTCGGGAAGTTTCTAGAACCTTCTAGAAAGGAAGCCTCTAGAACCTTCTAGAAGCTTCCTAGTTAATAGAAATAGCTCGAGAAGCTTCCTAAGTAGGAGTATATATAGGGATCGAGGCTGAAGAGTTCTTCAGTCTCGACAACACATCTCTTGGAGTTCTAGCTCACCTTTCTGGTATTGTTCTTGTACTCATCTGTTTAATCTAGTTCTGCCACTTCTTCTTGAACTTCTTGTTAGATTTCAAGTCTGTATTTTGTGTCCGTGATAGGTTCTCAGATCAAAATTCAAAAAGATAATTATTGCACTTCATAGCAAAGTCAATTTCTTGATTTAATATTTGAGAATCAAGTAAGTTGAGCATTAATTTTTTTACCTCATGTTGTAATCCGTAGAGAAATTGGCTAACAGGTGCAGCGTCATCTCACTTGATATTAATTGCAAATTGTCAAAACTATGAAGCATACAATGTTATCAATCAATTATTTTGTCGTAAAATATGAATCTTATTGGTTGCAATATGAATTGCATCATGTTTTCCATACATGGATCAAAACTCTGCTAAAAAAAAGCCTCCAGATTATCCGATATTAGATCTTATTGTTCAAGAAAAGATGAAAACCATGATAATACTGAACCTGAAAGAAGCGTACAAATGAATCTAACTTGCGATCCTAGAGTTGGATAACTTTAGGATTGAAGTTCAATCACAAGTTGTACTTGATTGATATATCCTCTAAACTTTGATCTAGTGCCATCAAACTTCCCGGGTAAGACAATTCTTGGTTCTATAACACTAGAAGGATGTTCCACCATAGGAGAAGGGACATGATTTGGTGCAGATGTTGAAGCAGCTCCAATCATTTCTATATCTTCACTTCCTGCCAATCTTGTTGCTCCTTGTGGTAGTAAATTGAGTTGATGCATTGCAAGCATTAACTTCCTCAATTGTTCTTGCACTTCTACCATTGCATTCTTCATTTCAGCAAGTTTTGCCATGATAACACTTAAAAAAGAGAAGATGTTTAATATTGCTCAAGATAAATAGAAGAAAGGACTTGAAAACAAAGAAAATACTAAAAACAATATCAGTTTAGAAAAAGGTAATCTGTAACTACTAATATGCTTATGTCTTATCAAGAGAAAGGAGTAATCTACTCTTAATCAAGTTTAGACAAAGCTCTGATATTGTAAGTGCACTCTTGTCAATCTATCAAGGACAAGAACTTGATAAAAATAAATAAAAAAGTGAGACTTTTTTCAAAGAAAGATAACAAAATAGAAATAATTAAATATGCATATTAAGAAAGAAACTGGAATAGATATTGCCAAAAGATAAGAAAACTAGAGACCCTTGAAACTAGACTAGAAGCAAGAAAGGAGTTGATAAAGAGTGAAAAAAGCTTCACTCTTACCTCTATATATACTATTTAGCTAGGAGCTATGTGGCGACGTTCTATAGGACCTCAAAAAACGTGTTAACTTTGCACAAAATGTATCTTAACTTGCAAGGCAAGTTTTCTATGTGGATGCCACATAATTAGCTTATTTTGCAAGCTACCAACATGTGTGGCACGTGGTTAACTTGTTGACCAAGTTTCTAACCTACCAATCAAGTATAAACACATGTAAAGTCAAAGTAGTGTCTATGAAGCTTTTAGGAAGCTTCTCTAGAAGATATTATGAAAATAATCTACTTTTATCTACTTCTACCTATTCATATCACCTAGGTAACAATTACAGTAAATATATGTTTGTGACACAGAGCAAGAAGATGAATTTGAGAATGAACTTCACAAAAATCTTTTTTGTCTTCCAAATGGTTTTGTTGTAAAAGATTTAAATTTATTAAAAAACATGCTCAAGTCAATCTTCAAATAAATTCTTTAGATCGAACTCCATGTTAATTGCACACACTACTCATTTCTAATACACATGATGTTTAGAACAAACCTCAAAATAAATATTACAAACTTCAATCATATGATGTTAAAAATATATTGCCATTAAGATGCATCAAATACAAATAAATAAATATATATATATATATATATAAATTCAAAACATGCACTGTCCAATTTTCTTTGAATGAAATAGATTTGCATGATTTCTTACATTAACACTTCAAATACAAAAAAAAAGATCAAAGAATAGCATTGGCAATGATCACTCTCAAAAAAGGGAATCCATGTCCACTTCAAAAATAATTAACTTATCCTTTTCCAACAAAACAATGTTACATTCTCTTACTATTGTACTCACATAACACTCACCTTATCAAAATTATATAAGAACAGGTTGCTATCATCCATTCTTCTCCCGTGCAGCCAGCCTCCCATTGCCACATGGAATAATACATGGAATAATAGCGACTAAACCCTTAACCCAGGTGTTAAAATGGAGAAGAAATCAGAACCCGAAACCTTTTACCTTTGTGACGCAGAGCAATTGTTGTCTGGACCCGGAAGCATTCATGCTCAATCAAGGGTTCGAGGCTCGCGCGCATGCTTGTTTATGAAACTGTATGTTAAGCAGCAATGGTTTGCTCATCTTTAACCTATTTCTGGTTTCGACACGAGAAATAGGGGTATGTGCATTGAGCCTCCGTGTAGTAGTTAACCCCATTTAGGCGTGCCTCCGATTTTCGGTCTTCGAAGTCGTGTGAGATTTGGTGGGCATGTTTCAAAGGGCAACAGTTGTGGAAAGAGATTTCAAGGAATCAAATGCTACCAAAAGAAAAAATAATATTGGAAAAATTGAATTAGGTCTCAAGCTGCAGTCTCCCAGACTGCAGTGCTACATCCAACTGCGGCCACAGTGTTTCCGAGGGCGGAAAGTTTTGCAAATTTTAGAATTAAGTCACGCGCCTCCAAAAGACCGATCCATGCGTGGAATTGACTGGGTAATGAGCACAAGTTCCGACTCATAAGTAGATACTCTTGTCGATGACAAGCATCCGCGGTCTGCATGCAACCCACCAACTGGAATCTTGAGCAATTTTGTCCGACCCATTTTCTGGAGCGAGCCAATTTGTACCAGTTGGAATGTCCCCACCACGTCCTTTGCGAGTGGCTGTGAGAGACGTTGGTGCCCTGACGCACTTCATGGCAGGGCCTATTCATAACTCTGGCTTCGCATCGCAGTCCCTACGGATAGGCTTAACCCAGATTGTGTCGTGATCTATCGATTTCCGCGCCCACCTGGATAATGGTGGAGTCGAAGCTAGCCTGTGTATGCTTGGATATATAGTGGGAGGAGAGAGAGTCACGCATCGCGCGGTCCCGGCCCTATTTGAGATTGAGATCTGACGCCGCGAGTCGGGGTCCAACACAGGGCTGAAGCTTGAAGCTGCTGATGGCCAGACAATCCCTAAATTCCCTTATACTTGAAAACCCCTTTCTTATTTACAACCCTTTTCACGCGTCTCTTCAACACTGGTATCGGTCTTCTTCTTCATTATTTGAGGTGCATTCATCCCTCAATAATGTGACTCTTCTCTTGATTAGAAATTTTGCATACATTGTTCATAAATTCATCCTCGAGATGAAAATTTAGTGACATTATTTATGTTGACTAAAACGGAGATTGAGACGGAGAGGAGTTAAATTATCTGCATCAAAGCCAAAAAATGTTGGCACCCGCAGTAATCTTAAGAACTCTAAGTGTTTACGATGATTAATAAGTTTGTATTTATCTATCTACACATACGAAGGAGCAAAATTTGTGTCCATAAATAAAAATAAAATACCTGGCATACCGTATTCACAGTACATATATGTTTACATTTGCGTGTGTACCGTTGGACAAGATGCAATACCAGACATTCAAATATACTCACACCACACAGGATCAGAACAATCGACATGAAATCGTCAAAGGCCGAATCAAAACAAGAGTCAATCGCCAGGCCAAGCTCAAAGGCATGCCGTGAAGTGGGTTCCGATCCCACGTCGGGTACGATGCGATCAGTGCGATAGTTTAACAGAAACGCTCACAGTAACCGTGGTAAGAAAGAAAGCAAGACGAAAGAGAGCGAGAGCTGAGTAGGGTAAGCTTGTGAGACACCAGATGTGTGACGGGCCTAGAACTGGGAGCATCGGATCCGGAAAGATACGACAATCCCTTTCGTTAGGATTTCGCCATAATTGTCATGAATCAGAAAACGACGACTGCGAAAAGGTGCTGGGTCGTGAGTCATGTCTGTGCTGATGGCAGTTTAGAACTCCCCGTGGTGACTCATTCCAGTTGAAAACCGAGTTATCCGAACTCGAGTTTGCGAGGATTCAGCTTTAGAAACCCTGACGAATGGGGACAACTCATGACCCATCTCCTCAATTCGCTCATCCCCCGAAGGAGGAATTGCAATTTGGCAGAAGCGCAGATCCAGCCCTAGCTCTCACTGCAGACTGAGTTACACAGCGTCGTACCGCCCCAAACAACTCCCCCTGCGTGACGAGGATTCGCCATAATTAGCGCTTGCTTTTATCCGTCGAGGATAACTTGTGCTGGGGCTGAGTACACGTCTTCGGCAATTGACTTGCAGTTCAGAATTAGCTGGTTTTGGATAAACTGGTGGTGTCCTTCTTCCGTGGAGGGGTCCCATGGCTGTGCCCTGAGAGCTACAAAGCATTTGCCCGTCCCAAGATACCTTTCTTCTGTTCTCGTTTTTGTAGTGTCGCTTCCTACCTGCGAGCTTTTTGTGTTTGCCTCGTGATCGTTGTTCGTCTTTGTGGATTTGGTGCCTCCAAGGCGTGGTGTGTTGGTTTTGGCTTGTGTTGTAGCGGTTTTGAGGTGGGTTTAGGGTGGAGCCTTGAGTGGCCGCGGCGGCATTTCTAGATTGGTGGTTTTCTCTACTGCGAGGGAGGGGCAGCTTTCGGGGGAGTTGTTTGCTGTTTATACAGCTTGTCTGATTAGTCTGAAGTCGTGTAGATTACGAAGGAGTCTTTGTGAGGTACGTGTGGAAGGTGTTCTTTTTGTAGTTTACCGCAATCCGGATTAACACCCAATTTGAAGAATATTTCCTGGAATGCACCTTACGAGAAGGAATAGCCATATCTGATGAAAGATTTGATCCAGAAGTACCACGAATTATCATTTCTAATCTCAGGCAACATTTCCTACCAAAATGATTACCAGCAAGTCCATCCCTATTTGCCGAACCACATTTCAGAGTGAGTCTCTGATGTTTTCTTCACCTAAAAGCGTCGGGACTTCTGGTTCAAGCACCAGCCCCAGGCGGAAATCGGGCTTCGGCTTGGTGACGATGGCGCATGCCGGCGCGTCTTCGAGGGATCATCACAACACTCTTGGTCTCTCTCCCGGTGCGAGCAAGCACGAGATTAAGAAAGCTTACAGACGTCTTGCGCTTCAATACCACCCCGATGTCTGCGACGGCAATCACTGCACTACAAATTTCCAACAGATCAATCTTGCTTACGAGGTACTTTTCCCACTGCAATGTGCACCAGGAAAATTCGCTTTAGTCTCCAATTTGCCAAATTTTAGATCTGTATGTTGTAATTAATAGAAATGTGAGCGGTACATTCCGGAAATATGCCTAATATCAGGAACGTTTTGTGAAATGGTAGCTGACCTTGTGCATCTTGCGTGTTTTTACAGTCGCTTTTGAGCACGACATCCTCTCGATTCGGGGAGTTTGAGGATGACTTATCGGACAATTTGGAAGGATTTGCGGGGGTATCGGGTGATTCCTGGGAGGAGTGGGAGGAGTGGATGGGTTGGGAAGGTGCGGGAACCCGAAATTACTCCAATCATGTCAACTACGCCACATGATTCTGCGACACTGCCTCCTGTTATAATGTAATTATAGATTGTATAATGACCGAAGCTTTCTGCAGCTGCGGACGGAAGGTCTGAATACAAAGTATATACATAGCGATGTTCCTTAACATCTTTTTTTCCCCTCTTCTTCTTTTCTCTTCTATGAAGGAAAGTGCGGTGTCCTAGCCCTTGAATGAAGGGGGAAAGTGCGGTGTCCTAAACCCTCTAACTGAACAGCAGCTCGACTTAACTTCTGCTGGGAGGTTTGTGCGTATTAGCGGAAAACTCTTGATTTAAGTTGTCCACCCCTTAATTGCGGAGCGTAAGGCTTTCCGAGAGGTTGAGACGCTTATTTTTTCCCGTGGCTGTGGCCATGTAACGCCAGATGGCTGGTGTAATTTTACAAAGAGCAATCGAGAGACATTCGAGCAGTCACTTTGTGGTACAGCAATGGTAACTCACTCATGCTTGTTTTAAGTGCATATCAGTATCAGTCTTTATGAAGCAATCTGGGAATGTCCATTGTGAAATTTGTAGATTCATCCCTGCATGGCTTACACTTCTAATTGAAATTGTCTCATTTTATGGCACTGTGTTCTCTCAATCCCACACCACTGTCTGCATTTCTACCCAATATCCTTGTCCTGTTCAAAAGCATACTTGTTAACTCAAAATTCTATCAGCAGAATCGCCATCTAACACAGACGCAGGAGAATTGCAAACTTCAGTAAGTGAATAGAATCTCTACTGTTGAATTCCTGGATGGTTGCAGTAGCAAGCTTGAGGCATAAACAGAGTAATATTCTACAAGTATAAAAGCAAGGCAAGATGTCATCTGGAGCAGAATCCACTAGTTCCGCAACATCAGGGAAAGACGTGAAATCCTAACCCTAACGAAGCTTTTTGCTGCACCCAGCAATGCTCCATTTTTTGGTGAAGAGCTGCATGATAAGAACAGGTTTGGGGAAAAGCTTAAATACGAAGGTCAGACTTTACGATGAGAGTGACTGACTATCCATGCTGAAGGGTTGGTGGCACTTGTATTCATAATTGTTAAATAATGCTTATTGCAGGAAAACAAGTATGTTTTGGATGGAAAACTACTGAACTTTGGTTTAAGAGTGAGCTCAGTAAATAAATGAAAATAAATAAAAAGGATTTTAATTTATATGGTGGCAAATTATATCACGGAAAGAATAGGCTTTCCATTTTTATGCAAATGTGATTGGATGCAAATGAGGATCCAATTTTTGTATTAATTGGGTACAGCAGTTGATTGGGTTTTAATTTAATTTTTGATTTTTGATTATTCCTTGATTGATCAAATTTTATTGTTATTTCTTAAATTAAGAGATATAATGTCGAAATTCATGAGTACAAGGTTTTAAAAAAATGTATGATTTGTATCAAAATTTGAAATGATTGAATTATCTAAATAGAGAATATCTATCTATCTATCTATCTATCTATCTATCTATCTATATTTATATATTAAAACTATTTTGGGCATAATGAATGATATAAAATGATCAATTAAACAAGCAACTAACTATTTTTTTATTTTTTTATTAGACTGAACTACAATTTATATACAAAAACATAGGTACATGCAAATGATTTATAAACACTTGAAGATAAAACGATTGAATTTATATATTTTTTTCTTTTTTATTCTTATTTTAAATTTTGTGCTTGGTTTGCAATTGATTGTACAAAAAAGTTCAGTTCGAAATTAGACCAACATACTATCTTTAAAAGCAGAGGTAAAAAAGAGGAAAAAAATAACTTTAATTTGATGTACCTCAGAATTTTGAATTTGAACTTTGTTTGAAAAATGTATGCAAACAATAAACATCATTACCTTAAACTTAGATTGTATGTATTTGTAATTATTTTATGCCTTGATTCAAATTCTTGTATGTAGTTTTGATTGAAAGGTATTTTTAAAAGTCAAGTAAAGTTTGAATATTTTTTAAAAGGAAAACTTAATTACTTTTTTAGATAAAAAAAAAATTCAAGTAAGGACAAATAACAAATATAACAAAAATTTATAATTCAAAATTTGATGCAAAAAAATTAAAAGATCAAAAGTAAAATAAAAAAATACTGAATATAAATCAATATAAAAATAACCTGTCTTAGTTAATTATCTCAACATCCATTTTATATTATTTTGTATGTAACATCTCTTAAATTTGACATTTTTATAAAACAATTTTGTATATAATTTTGAATAAATATATAAATAAAAAATGCATGTATTACTTCTATTTTTAAAGTGTATTTCTCTAATAGTTGTATTAATCAAATAGCATTTATAACAAATTGGATTACTACTATAAATGTTTTTTTTTTTTTTTTTTTTTTTTTTAAAATTGTATGTTACTTGTTTGAATCGTGTCATAACATCTTTTCATGTCAATGTTTTTGTCTCTGAATATTCATTTTTTATTCATGAACATGGTTTTAATTATGTCAAGATCTTCTTTACTATTACCTAAAGGAAAGGAAAAATCTTCAAAATCTTTGTTTATTTTACTTATATTAAAAATAAAACCTGAATTTTTCTCCTGCAAAAATAATAGATCTTACAGTCTTTTGTGTAGAATTTTTTTCAAAAATATAAATTCTAATTTCAAAAATTTCATTTACTTAATAATTGTATTATAAGAATGTCAATATATTTTAAAATTTTATGTCGAAGCATTGGAATTTTTTATTTTTTATTTAAAATTTTCCAATATAGTTGTATTAAGATGAAATAAGAGAGCATTTTTTCCTATCTCTTAATAATTCAACTCCATAATAATAATATTTTATCAATTTTATTTGCCTCATTTGATTATTTTATAAATTTATAATATATTTTAAAAATAACAAAATATGTGATGAATAATTTATAATTCTAATACTAATAATAAATAAATTCATGCAATTTAACGACATAAATAACGATATATTATATTGCTTATAAAGGTCTAACTGATTTATTTATTTATTTATTTATTTAATGTACTTCAACTTTTTATTCTTAAAACTCGTAATACATATATTTCGTATATATTTAGGTCAACACATTCTATTATTTTGATAATGCTTTTATTTTGGTAGACCTATAAATAAATAAATAAATAAAATCTCATAAGAGGTTAAACTCTTAAATTTTTATTTACTTTATTTTAATTTTTATCAGCTTTGCCTTTATTCTGAAAATTTTATTCTATGTTATTATTTTGGTTTGAGGCATATATGTAGAATTTGCATTATTGTGATCCTATGGTAGACACATCAATTTCTATTTTATAAATCTTTCAATTGATTACTGTTTATCATTTTTTGCCTGCTGCCTACTTGCATCTTTCAATCAATTTATTTCATAATGTGTCAAAAAATTACTTTGTAAATTCTGTTTTCATTTTTAAAAATATCTTTGAAAATTATGATCTGTCTACTATTTTAATTGTTTTTTTCTCTTTCATAATTTTTTTCCAAAGTTAAAATTAGTAATTTTATTAAAGTAATACTTTTAGTCATTTAAAAAAAAAAGAAAAAATCAGTGTTTTATACAGAAATTACATTCTTAGTTAAATCTCTTCAATTTTGGTTCTCTTTTATGGTTAATTGTTCAAACAAATTGAATAGATACGTACAAACACATCATTCATATGTTTTCCAAGTTTTTTTAATGCCATTTTTCTTCAAAAAATATACGAATTATATGTTTTGATAATATTGACCATTTTAGATTTTTATTGATGTGGCTATTTTTAGTCCCTCAAATTGATTAAAATCACACTTTTGATGTTTTGCACATCAAACTTGCTACTCATACAATCTAGTATCTTTGGATATGAAATGTATCCAAAATCTAATGTATGCAATATAAGACTTTCAACTATTGCATGTTTTGCCATGCATTATTAATGTAAGAATACTTGTACATCATTCATTAAACAAGTAGATCATATTTGTACCCAAAACAAATGGTTCATGTGTTTTGCATAAAATATGTGCATTGGTGCCATTTGCTTACTTTACTCTTCTATTTTGGATTGTAGTGTATAATGTTTTGAAGTTTTCCTTTTGTTACGATGTTCAATTTAATAATAAAAGAAATCTTTTAACATTAAGTTACATTAAAGAGCTTCTTTAACCTTAATATCCTTACATTGTTATACAAATTATTTTTTATTTTCCAAAAAAATATTTAACCAGTAAAATATTCTAAATGATTTATATTTGTTTCGAGCATATAAATCCAAGTACTCCAAACAAATTTCCAAACATTTTTAAAATGTTGTATGTATTAAAAACTTGTGTGGAATAAAAAATAAAAAAAAATGATACTAGGCATGTTTTATGGTAAATGTTTTTACAAATTATTCTCCTTATATTTACATTTTGTTTTTATTAAGTGAGGTGGACGCTTTTCAACAGGTAGAAATCCTCTCAATGAAAATATTAAATACTATTTTTGAGCTTGTTTATCATGTACATTCTTTAAAGTTTTTTCATATATATAAAAAGATTTTACCATATTATTTTCTTTTACGCTAATATAATAAAATTGTATATAATGCTTGATTTTTTGTTCAAACCTATTCTTACATCATGATAGAACAATATTTGTAAGACAAAACAATAATAATTGCAATTAAAACTAAAGAACATAATATAATAAATAAATAAATATTTTCATATATAGATAGAATTTATTGAATAAATTTCGGTATTGTATATGTTTTTTTGTATTTTCATTTCTTTTCATCTTTCCATATATACATTTTAAAATTTTAAATTGTTTTATTGATAAATTAAACTAATGTTAACTTACATGTAGATTTATGAGTAAATTAAGGGTGTGATCTATATAGAGTGGTGGAAGAATGATGGGGTATGAATGAAGCAGCAAGAGCAGCAGCCTCATGTTCCGATGATTGCCCAATCTCATATGAACTTTGATGATATCCCTCTTTCTTGTTACACTGTGATAATAAGTCCGCCCCCCCTTAATTTTTAGCTAGTATCTATTCATTCGTCAAGGATTGCCCCACTCCGCTGAATTATTACATCCATCCATTATTCATTTATTATAGGATGAACGTGGTGCTGGGGTGATGAATGAAGCAGCAGCTGTCGCAGGAGAGAGACAGCGGCGGGGCGAGGATGAGCGGGGGCTGGGGTAGGAGGCCATCATGAATGGGACAACACTCTCTCTCTCTCTCTCTCTCTCTCTCTATCCCTCACTCACTCTTCCGCCGCCTCCATCATTTGCAGATTCGCTGCTGCTGCTGCCTGCATGCAGTGTTGTTGTTGTAGTTGTTGTATCCCATCACACCGCTCATGTCGCTCTCTCGTGCTCAAATTCCCTCCCTCCCTCCGCACCATTTTGAACCTACCCGTTTGAATTCCCCTCCCCTTCCAGAGAATTGATTTTCTTTAGCTTCGCAGCTTTCTTCCTTCACTCGTTCCCGGCCCCAAGGCTCGCAGGTTCATCGTGTCTCTTCACTCCAGCCTCACTCGTAGCTTCAGTCTTTAGAGACATTACATGTAAATTAGGGAGAGCATGTTACCTTGATGATTTAGAGAAGAACTTCGAGCGGATCTGGAGGTGGCGTGCGGCGATGCGACGTCGTCGTACGCCTGAAAAGAATATGTGATGGTATGGACGAGAGTTGTGAACGTTTGCCCGTTGCTTTGAATGTTGCGCGCCCGGGGTTGAAGTGTCAACGAGATTATGCCTTCGTAATCAGAGTGGCGTGGCGTGTTTGGTCTGCGAAATAGAACGTTGTAGTGCTTGGATTTTCTTGGCATCCTGTTGACTGCTGTGTCAAATTTTGTTTTGAAGTTCAGGCGCGGCGCATGGTGCTGAATTAGAGAGACTTCTAGCGTTTGAGGATTCTTTTATGACCATTTTGTGCCATGTCATTTAAGAAAATGATCAGTGAGCTTTTAGTTTCGGGGTGTACGTTTTTCTTCTAATTCTATGCATCCCGACCTCCAATCCGCATCGAAATATGTGCAGCAGTGCTTTTTTGCAAGATGATGTAAAACTAAAGTAGTTGGCGATCATCAAATCGTGTGATGCAATTGCAAGCAGCTTGCCCGAATTGTAGCCGAAGGAATTGGAAAATGCTTAACTGCTTTCAGGAGTGACCTGAATCAATCTACCGTGATTCGTACATACTATTTCCAGAACCAGCGTCACGAAACCAATCTTCAAAGTGCCTCGGGTTACAGGCTTTTGGGAAGACCTTGTCTATATTCTTCTAAAGAAAGTCGCCTCTTGCAACCCAGCGTCGACGCAGCAGGCTTGGCCGCGGGTTGGATTTAGTTCCTAATTCTCTTTCAACGATTATTTCTCAAAACGAAGGTGCGCTGGAACCGTACCTAGGCAATCGTTTTGACTGTTTCCTCTTTGAGAAATCAGATCATTTAGATCGCAGGTCACTCGGCATCTGTAACGGCTCCAACATATACATTTCATAACCAGGCTGAGCTGATTACAGAATTCGGGCACAAGTATACCCGCCAAGGATGAGTAGCTTCCCAAATTCAGAATGGTCCGCACAATACGACGAGGAAGCTGCAATTGACGCTCCAATCCAGGAGCATGTAATGCAATCCTTCAGTACATCTTCTAGCGTTGGCTTCAGCTACAATGAGCAGGGCATGCTAAATAGAGGAAGGAAAGGTTTCAGGGGCATGCAACAGGAGAAAAATGAATATCGCCAATCTTTCTATCACTTGCAACATCGGTATACAAAGATGATCACCTTACCTGTAGTCGTCATCGCTATTAGTGTGATCGGATTGTTTTTTGCACTAATTTCATTCCGCGGATTTTTCCATCCAACGATGAAGGCAGCAGGGGCTCAGTCAGGGCATCGAGGTAGAATATTTAAAGATCTTGCAGTTGCGGCAGTTGACCGTAACAGTCTTGGCGATAAAAATCAGGCACAGCGATTCCTTGACCTTGAATACCACACCAATCAGACGCGAGTTGGAAGAACTGGAAGGATATTCAGACGAAGAGTTCTGGACTCGCTTCAGGGAATGCTTTGGGTACGCTCATTACATCACCTTCGTATACTTCGTAATGTCTTTGTTTGATTGCCAACGATCCAATACTATCTTGACGGCTGACTGCTTACACCTTATGAGTTTTTGGTGCTTGCAGGGCACCTCCCATCCGCCTCGAAATTCTCAATTGAGGAAGGCTTACTTGAGGACAATCAGAGACACTAGAGGCAAGGAAGAGAACCTTTACTCATCCGAGGACATGTTGCATGCAGAAGTGTATCACAATTTCACATATTTTAAAGAGTGAGTGCAGCTCTCCTCAGCTTAAAAACATTTATATATATATATATATATATATCTGTGGATCATTTTGGTTGTCACTCTTTCTTGGCTTTCGTTGCAGCAAAGACTGAGCATCTTCCAGTCTCAGATACTAAATAGACTGGACGGTGTATCTCTGCAAATCTGTATTTGGATCTCTGACAGTAGCTGTGCACGGTTTCTTGACCCTACAACCTGATCTCTTGATCTCGATTAATGTATTTCGGGTTGATTCAAGATTTTCTAAGCTTTTGACTATTTCGGTATTTTTCATCACTTGATATCGTGGCTGAAGTTTGAACGTCCTTTTTTTTTCTGAATGCATCAAGTTTTTTTCATTACTGACCTCCTTTGAACACTAGACCCTCACCCCAGGTATGCTTTTGTATCAGGAGATATGCAGAAATGAACAAGACTTTCAAGATCTACGTGTACAGAGATGGATTCAAGCCACTTGTGCATGGAGCCAAAACAGGGGGGATTTATGCAACCGAGGGACTCTTCTTGAAGCGCATGGAGGACTCTAATAACAGATTCACTGTTTCTGAACCATCAAAAGCGCACATGTTTCTGCTTCCGTACAGCGTTCGCCAGATGGTGGATATTTTACAAGATCCATACTCGCGTAGTATGCGGCCATTGAAAACCTTCATCTCAAACTACGTTGACACACTGGCATCCAAGTATCCTTACTGGAACAGAACACATGGTGCTGACCATTTTTTTGTGTCTTGTCACGACTGGGTATGTACCTTCATCAATGCATCTCTGCCCATGTTACTATGATGATTTTAGAGTTGCGCAATATCTTTATCTCTAGGAAAAGTATTTCAAGCAGTTTCGACTACTTGTGCGAATTTTTTGGGAGATGTTGGAGATGGTAATCTTGAACCTCATATCCTAATTATGCTTTTGAAATAACTCTCAACTTTCATCGACTAAACTCCTACGTACACAAATCAAAGCACCTTTTGCACTGATTACTTCCCTATTTGATTCATGCAGGCACCACTTTCAACAATGCTTCATGGCGAACTTCACACAAACTCAATGAAAGTGGTTTGCAATGCTGATCTCACAGTGAACTTCGATATAGAGAAGGATGTTTCCATTCCACAGACGCTAAAGGGTGGAAATCAGTCGGACTTAGATGTCGGTAGTCTGGGACCAGAAGAGCGAGATTTTTTAGCATTTTATGCTGGCCAAATGCACGGCACTGTGCGACCAGTGCTTCTGGATTACTGGAAAGGCAAAGACCCTACTATGAAGGTCTACGAGGTCCTACCTTCTGATATTGCCGTAAATATCTCATATGCTCAGCACATGAAACGGAGCAGGTATTGTTTGTGCCCTAAAGGTTTTGAGGTAAATAGTCCCAGGATTGTGGAGGCCATTTTGAGTGGCTGTGTCCCTGTTATCATAGCTGACAACTTTGTGCTCCCTTATAATGATGTGCTGGATTGGACGAAGTTTTCCGTCACTGTACCGGAGGAGGACATTCCTGACTTGAAAAAGATTTTGAGCAGCATATCGAACGTTACTTACCGCTCGATGCAACGACGCCTGAGGTACATAAGAAGGCATTTTCTTTGGCTCGAAGATCCTGAAGACACACAGTATGATTCATTTCACATGACATTGTATTCTATTTGGAGACAAAGCATGAACTTGCGCAGGAGAAAACCAGAAATTTTCCAGGAACGCATGAGTTAGATGAAAGCCGCATACGAAGATTAATCACAACTCCTAGTGTGCGTAAACAGAGATCCGTTCGCCTGATCCTTACTCTGGGCTCGTGCCATTTCCAGCCTCTGAATGTTCCGTTTTAAATGCCTCCAATAAGCGGCTACTTGCCACTCCAAGCAATTTCCACTTTTAAACCCCTGAGGAATCGAGATTTGAACCGTTGGCAGGGATGCGAAAAGTGCACAAAATGTGTTAACATCGTGAACCATGACTGAGAGCTGTTGGATATTGCCATTGCAGCTTTACTTAACCATGGGTGTACACTAGAAATGCCCCAATATACGCGACACCAGTGACTTGTGCTAACATGTACTGTAGATTATCCCCTGATGTATTTTTAGCATGTACGTGTTCAAAACATGTGACTACAAGTTCCCAGTGTCGAATCTATGAACTTAGTGTAGATTGCTCGATCACGTAGGATCCGATTAGTCTTGATAGAGATTCTGGAGATTCTTCAACATCTTCCTGTTCAGATACACAACATGAGAATAGCTAGCAAATTGCGTAGAATGCGGATGAAATCATAACGTTAGTACTAGATGTTGGAGAAGTAAGCGCATTGAGGTGACTTCTTGTAACTTGAACTTCATGTGCAATGTGTAAGCTTCGTTGAAATGATGACCTCATCCCCACTCTTGGTGCATCTAATTTTCATTAGGCTCTACGACTGCAGACTTGGGTATTTATGATATCGCCCATCATATACACAACTTGCATCAATAAAATACTTGTTGTATTCGTGATCTTGCAGCTTTAAGACGTAGATGAATTGCATAAAGTAATGTGGTTTGAGCTACCACTTAAATACTAACCGTTACAGTTGTTGGCTGCTGAGCTTACCCCGCAACGTGCAACCGGGTGATGTTGAAAGTATTGTACTCAAGGACTATTAATTATGGAGAAGCGAGGCAATTACTAAATAGGAAGATCACGCAATGTATCAGGCTACCGAAAGCTTAGATTCGGGCGAATGGCTGGCCCCGAGATGTTTCAATGTACACACCGTCAATTCTGTTCCTTGTAGTGGCGAAACTAATTTCTATCTCTAACCGACGATTGCCTAAAGAAAGTGCTGGTTAGTTTTTTACCACCCGTCACCATGCATGCTCTCCATGATTATGCTTTCTGAACACACTATTATTCTGCAAAACTCGTATCGTTCAATGTCGTTAGGAGTGAGAAAATGACTCTAGATTAGTAAGCATTTCATCTATGGCAATCAATGACTCAGATTACCATAAGGATGGAAGCGTAGTAAATAAAAGAATCAATTTTGTTCAGACTTCATTCTACTCTTTGTAGATGTTAAAAATTGGTGCGAAGCATCTACAAAATTCAAGAGTCTATTCTTAAGTAATGGGTGAGCTGCTCAGCGTCTCTATGTGCACGTGTGTATCCAAGGGTGAGTAGCTTCAACTCCAAGCGAGAATGCTAACAGTTTCAAAACTTTTATTAGACATTATGGTGATATCATATAAAAATGACACGGATTTGACTCTTGTTCCACAAATGATTGCACAAAAATGAAAGATTTTTAAGTTGATATGCTTGATAAAAAGCATTTGGATTGTAGGTTTGTTTGTCTTTTTACTCTTAATGCTAAATGGGACTGCGTTCTTGCAGAGCGTTGGTACGTATCAAGTTAGTATTACAATTTTTTATATTTCTTTATATTAGTTGTAGTTTTCGTATCCTATATGTGCAGCAGGTTGGAAGCATGCTTGGCCCTCCCATTCCGTTGACTTATGATCTAGGGAGCACAGTTCAACTTGGTTCGATTTCCGGAGTCTGGACCGTGTAAACCTGTTCTTTGGAGGTGATTCGAGAATGAAACTTGCTTAAAGTGAAACGCGTTGAGAATTACGGGGTTTTGCTGGTTATGAGCTAAATTAGCTCGGGTATGTCCGTCTACTTTTTGGTCTGAATGTCTCCACTTGAATTACTGTTTCATGGCAACCCAGGACATTGGTACTCACCTATCACAGTGCCACAATTTCCATCTCTGCAAGAGCGAACTCTGTGTCGACTTAAAAAATGTCACTCTTCTGCAATAGGTTCAGAGACCCCTGGTGTTCACAGACAAGATTGGTCGAAGGACCATGGGTTCAATCCTGTTTGTGAACACCATAGGTATTATATGGGTAGTCACATTGCGACCAGGCATGTCGAGCTCGTTTAATCCACTCTAACATTTGCAGGTTCGCAAGAGATGAGAGTGAGGCAGTAATATTCCAGGGATCGTCTGCTCAGGATCAACAAACACATTAGAAAGGCTGCTTGTGCATCACCTGGTTGCTGTAAAGAATGGGAATGATGCTAGTCTTAGTGGAGAGCGGCCACCACTTTTTATTTTCTTGAAATCGATTCCATTGAGTTCTTAAGAAAGCGCTGCAACTATCTCCAGGTGCAATGCCACTCTCCATACCTCAAAATCAATTATAACTCAGAGTTTTATCTTTATATGTTTATTTTCATGCAAATGTAGGGTCGTTCGGTCAAATAGAAGCTAATCTTTGTAAAATGCATTCGTGACATTGGACCTCAAAGAAAAATTGATAGTACTGTCCATTCATGGTCCAATTAAAAAACAAATGTTTTATGTTATAGAATGTTGTCATAATTTTAAAAATAGATAGAAACATAAAATTTAGTTAGAGATATTTTATTTATAAATTGATAAAACTTAAAGAGGTTCAAATTATTTAATAAATTTTATTAAAGATGAAATATATTTTTGAGATAAAAAATATTATTGATTATGTATTAAATATTTGGATAAATAAATAGTCATTGTAAGGATTTATCTTTACAACCTATACTTTTTACAGATTAAAGAAAGTTCACATGTCTGATCTATGAATTTATTTTTGTTTGACTTAACAAGAAAATTTAGAAAAACAGTATTTTGCAAATAGAAGTATATCTACAACACACTCAAATGCTTTATTATATATGATAGTAAACAAGTAGGTACCTAAGATTCAAAGTCAAAGTGATGAAGTTTTAAAATTAAGATTTTAAATTTAGTATCTTTTAATATTATATGTTTTATATTGTTATATTTATATGACTTATATTGTATTTTCCATTACATGTATATCTACTTATTGGATGTTCTTCTAGCATTGTAAAACAATTAAAATTTTTACTAAAATGTCTAAAACTTATATATTATAAAACATATAATATATTATTATTATTATTATTATTATTGTTAATAATGTCTAAAACATATAATATTATTATTATTATTTTGAATATTTTAAGAATCATTAGAATAATTTACAAGCTACTCCAAGCATTTATATGGTATTTTAGATTATAGAATCTTCAAATAGCTTAAAGAAGCTTTTATAAGACTTTAATTTTTTTTTGAATATAATAAAAAAATATAGACATAACTAATAACTTGAAAAGATTTTAGAAGACTATTTGAAGTTTCTAGAAACTTAAAAAAATTATCAAATATTTTGAGATATTATTGAAGGTTCTAAAATGTCTTAGAAATTTCTTAAGATCCAAAAAATTTAAAATGTATACCTAAAATATTATAGAAGATATTTAAGGCCAAATTCTCTTATAGAATATGATACTACTTCTTCTATTAGTAAGTACTATAATAAAATACAACAATCTATTTTTAAATTTTTTTAAAAAGTATTTTTTAAAAAGTATTTTTTAAATTTTTTGTCAAAAGGATGTTATCTTTTTTTATTTTATAATATATAAATAATTCTATTAAACAAAAAATAGTCATAGTTTTTTGGTATTAAATAATTTATTTTAAAATATTTTTTTTGAATTTAGGTTTTAAAAAAAATCATTTAGATAATAACTTCTTAACTATTATATCAAATACTACCAACTTATATAAGTATAATCAAGACTAAAATATATTTTTTGAGATTTTCATGGCAAAGCTATTAATAATGAGATCAAACTTGATATTTAAAAGATTATGTTTTATTTCAATAGCATCTATGCAATAATAAAGGTGATAGCAAATATTCTACTTAAAAAGATAGCTTTAATTTTTAATTTTATGATTCTAAATAGCTTTTATAATTCAATGTACGAAAAATTTAAAAATAATATCAAAAGAATTTAATATAGAAAAAATTAAATAAATTATTATTATTATTATTTTATTTAAATATTTTCCACCTAATAGTTGTATTACAATAGGATAACATAAAGACCAACAACTACTCAAATTTTAGAAGAAAATTGATGGTTTATGAGAGAGATATAAAGACTATAAGCTCAACATTAAGATTGAAGAAGAAAGATTGCCTTATCTCTAAGTGTAATTTTAAATTTTTCTTTCAATTAAAAAGTGATTTAAAAAAAAAAAAAAAAATGTTCATATTTTCAATTAGGATTTTGAAATTAATGCTTAGTCTTAAGTAAAATCATTAGATAATTAGAAAGTTATAAGGATTTTAATTTGTCATTGGATTTATTCAAAGTTGATTTGGATTTTTTATAGTTTAGCTAGAATTGATTTAGAAATTATCTAGGATTTGATTAAGATTTGTTTTAGAATTGATTAGGATTTAAATAGGATTTTTAAACATTTATTTTAAATTTGGCTAAGATTTTACTTATATTTGGTTAAAATTTGTTTAAAATTTAGTTAGAATTTGGCTAAAAAATTTAGGATTTAATTAAGATATTATTAAATATGAATAGATTTATTTTATGATTTTTATAAAAATTATTTAAGATTTTTTAGAATTTTCTTAAAGATTACTTGATTCTTGATTAAGGTTGGCAGTGGCTAAAAGAGTGTTAATAGAGCCCATATCTATGACCTTTAAACACATTCAACTATCTTAGAGATGAATAAAAGAGATATAAATGATCTTGAAAGGTATGTAAATAAGGCCATTTAGAAATGATATTTATAGTAGTTTAAAGAGTATTAGTATAGAGTAAATTTGCATATTTGAATTAAGTCAACTATCTTGAAGATGAATAAAGGACATGTAAATGACCTTAAAAACATCCAAATAAATCCGTATAAGGATATTAATTGACTAACTAATTTATTAATTGACTAGTAAAAATTCATTGACTTGAAGATTGTACAAGGATTATAATTGCTAAAATAGATGTTTCTAAATAACTCATACATTCTTTTTTTTTACAAAATGAATTTCAAGATAAGTTGAATTTTTTTGCCAGTATATTCTTGGCTATATTTCACATAATACAACAATATCTTACAAAGTGTAACATATACAAGTAGATATGTTTAAAAAATTAATTAAAATAAAATTTATATTTTTTTATTTAATAGAAATATATTTATTTATTTATTTATATAAGCTTCTATATACCTATAAGCAAGTACTACCATTTATGTTAAATTTTATATTTTAAATACCAAAGAGATAATTGATAATTTTATGATATTTTAAATAGATGCATATATAATGATGCCTTATATAATATCATGAAAATTATATGATATTTTTCCTAATATTAATCATAAATAATAATTGAATCATATGTTTGATATTAAATTTCTAATATTATAAAAATATAATCTATATAATAATTTATTTTAATTTAAGTCAAAGATATAAGTTTGACTAATTTATTTGATAATAAAA